TGACCAATGCGGGAAGTGGTGGTGGTGATGGTACATTCAGCGGGGTGATGAACCAGCGGTCTCACGTGACAGACGGGCAGATTGTGAACGGAGGGGACATGTGTGAGGCTGCGACGACTGGGTGTTTAACGTGAATCAACACGATTCACTACATGCTAAACATGGCAGCCCAGTGTGGTTCGAGATCTATACCCGGATCCATGCAACCGATACCACGCTAGTGCATCGACACATTAGAGTAACTTTAAGCTAGGAGCTTCTTTGAGTAGCACTACCCAAAAAGATCACAACTAAGACATACCCATTTAAGTCACACATGAGTTTAGTGGTTTGGAGGATTTAAAAGACGTGTAACATCAGAGACTTTGGTTCTTTCATGGCAGTTTCTTCACTGCTGTATTTTTAGACACGGAGGATAAAATTCATAGAGAGGCTTTACTAATTTTTTAAGTCCCCATAACTTTGGGTACATCTAATAAATTCTCAGTAGTCACAGTGTCAAAACAAATGACAGTCGTTCGGATAGGGCCAAATGGGATCGATTGAAGGTCAGGCCGAAGTCTCCAAGGATTAATATTGCAAGCATGTCATTCATTTCAGCAAAAAAGTTATCGCATGATATAATATTCCCCTTTATTAATACATGACAATTTATATTAGACTGGAAATGGGTGTTCGACAGTTTTTATGATAATTCTTAAAATATTACAGCATTTTAAAGTAACCGTCTTTAAATATCTTTCATTGCTTTGGTCAGTACAATATTTTGCTACCAAAACGATATCAATAATCGAAGAGGTTATTAATATCTTAGCTAGCTGTGTTAGAAAAAAAACAAATAATGAGATCGTTATAACACACATAAAAACTTCAAAAGGTGTAACTCACATCTGAGGTAAAGGTCATTTCAACATCACTGCACTAATGCCTAGTGGTCAGTTTGGAAAAGTGAACACCAGCCACCAGACAGATCAATGAGAAGACAGACAAGAATGGCAACAAATACAAACAGACGACTAAAGATTCAAGATCAGCAAGAGAATTTAGAGCAGTATAATACCAAGTGTGGCTCTTGACTTATGTAAGGTATTAAAAGAAGCAGGTCAATAACCTACCAGTGGCGCAGAGAACTTCTAGAGCACATGTTTGTATATAGCTTGACAATGATGTAAACTGTGCCTAGGAAGCTTTACGTTTGTTCATACCCTAGTTCCCCGACTTGATCCACATTCCTGTAAATTTGCCTCCCAACCAGCCCATGATGCAAGATTTTATTGGTAGATGTAACAAAATCCAATGAGGATTCTTCTGAGGTATGCCAGCGTTTACAGTAGCTTTGAGCCAAGGTGTCCTCTCAGTGACTACAGGAACAACTCTTTTGAATCACATAATGTCACAGCATTGAGCCTTGAGGAAGCTGGGTTTTCTCGTAGGATACCAACCTATGATTAGAAATACCACCAGTGTAATCATGTGCTCACGCTCAGTGTGACACCAAATGTGCGCAAGCACGGCAAGATTATAAAAGGAGCTCAGAACTCGAGTTTCACAAATTTTATGATGGTGCTAATTAAGGTGGAGAAATCAACTTTAGGAACTCAAATTTTTCACCAGGGTCTAGAGCACAAATAATTTTTTCCGTGTCACTAAAAGATATATTACTATTTATTGCAGGGGATTGCGTAGAAGTGGTACCCGTTTGCAAGATACATTCATTTCAATGCTTATTCAATCGTTTGTAAATTAACAACTGTTCAGCCTCTAATACAGTAATTTAATTTGGAGAACTCACAGTCCCTACCATAGTGCAAACACACAAATTAGGCAAATGATAAATAAATTCCGGTCTTAATTATATCGTGGGAACCAAAGATACCGTACTTGGCTGGGTGCTGCGAAGAGAAGTGGTGCATGCCGCTAATTTATCCTATCACCCCTGCCATGAGGTATCTGACACCACGGTTATTTATTCCTTAATTTATCTCTGAAATCGTACTGACTCTTTGAATCCCAACAGACCATCAGCGCTTTACACAATTTTCATCGAATTTCCAGTGCTTAATGCCCACGATCAATAGATGAACGGGACCAAACAATCAACAGGCACGATGGGCTGTTAAACAAATGGTCCCACTTGTCTACAAGCTTCCAACGCTTTCCGAAGTAGTTTTATGTTACAATCGAACGAACGTGAGTTGGAGCTCCTCATAGGGACATTAAATTGGTAATAAGCATAAGGCCTTTAAACCTGGCATAATTTATTGTGACCCAGGTCGTTTATTCTCAGCTGAACGCCATTTGATTTGAGCAGTAAGGATACCTACAAAACTTGGAATTCGTGTACGTTCTAGTTTTGTTTCGGTTTCAGAAATTATTTAGGGGCTCGTTTCCGTTGCGGGAAAAAAACATCTCGCCTGAATAACCAAATGGAGTTGTTGACATTCACCGTGGGCCAGTTTTAAAGGGACAGTTGTATGTAGATCTTTTGAAGCGAAAAACGAGCCAGTATAAATTAATTATCTTACTCCTCTATTTGGCAGTTAGTAGAATATCAGAATATCACATAGCAGATTGTGCCTATTGTGGGGTTCCTGATATTAGGTATGTGATGAGTCTTGAGCAATGCGATTGGTCATTGTTAAGGTATAGAAGCCTCTGCTCGAACACATTTTATAGAAAAAAGTCAGCTTCAACAGGGTTGATAGTAGTGCTGCTCAAATATTGCACCTACAGTCTAGAGAACGCCAAGTTCCATTTCAATCGCACCATTCTACAAATTTGGCATACGTATACTGAAGATACATGGAAGTCCAATCAATGAGGGCTGAAGTCCATTACTGTTAAGGCGGCCATCTGGAACAGGAGCTATCTTGCTGCAAATAATCCCATTTAAAATGGCGTCTGACTGCGATTTGCATTTAGCCGCCAAGCCGACGGGGCCCATTGGCTTGGAAATCAAATGATAAGATAAAGCTCAGAAAAAAAGCTCTTTTACACTATAAGGCATGCGCATTTATTCGTTGATGCAACCCAATCGAAGGGTGTGAAATGTGAACTTGGCTGCTTGCAAACTGAAAAGGGATACTGAGCCAACCCAAGCATAAGATAATAGGTAGACTAACGCGGGATTCTGCAATCGTCGTGTGAGGCATGTCGAATTTCTGTGGGAACTGAATGTAATTATATGTGCCACTAACGCCAGAATAAATTTATTTATGGTACTGCATCATTGGGTTAACATAAGAAAACAGGTTTAACAAGATAGAATTTGCGATATTTTAGATGATCCACCAAAGGAATTTAAATCATTCACTTTAAACAACCCCCCACATACTATATAAAAAAAATAAGAAGGAGACCTGATGTTGGCTATAGTGGTCGTAGCGTGGGGTCTCAACAACAGTGAAAATTTTTGCCAGATGAAAATTTATTACCACATTCCACTAGCGTTGCGGAGGTGGAACTTTTTCGCAAGAGTTACTGTGAGTCGATGAATTGATACGATAGCAGTTACTAACGCCCACATAGTATTTGACATGGTAGCTGTTGTAAACGTCGCTATTAATTTTCGGTAAATAATCTATTAGACGAATTGGGACAAAAACAGAATAGCTAATGTGAAATCGGTACACAGATTGATTATCTTCTGAACAAATGAAAATTAAACGACATAAACTTAAAAAACAATAAATCTAATCTGTGAATGAAAAGTACAAGGGCATTATAGGTATTTTGAAAGGGTTGGGTCCATGACCATAGCACGACGTGAGGATTTATAAATCGAGAACGCTCAGTGTGAAGTCGGTTAACAATGCCAATGCCTAGTTTTTATAAATAGGCGGCTTCTATATAGCAATCAGGTGATTTCGGTAGTTACTTGAAACGAGAATGAAATGCTACACATTGTGGACCTTCAGCGCATTATATCCGGTCGAGACGTGACAGGAGCATAGAGCTAAGGGCCACCAGTAACGTATTACACAACGCGAATTCTTAGCCCAAAATATTACACTTAACAAATTTCACACTACTCAATTCTGCCACATGTTGGACTAAACTAGTCGTAAAGTCGAAGAAGATAAATATAAAAACTGATTACGCCGTGTACCTAGAGATCACGAATAGGCAAATTGGCATTTAGGCAGAATGCAAGTGTTCACAGTGTAACCCACAAGGATTCAACAAGAAATAGCTACAAATCTAACATTAACCCGCCTGTAACTCTTTTTGTATAAAGGACAAGAATGCGAGCTCCCTCATTAGCATAACTAACAAGCGTACTTGGGCATCTCATAACTCAATGAATAACCTGCGAGGCAGGGAGCAACTCTTAGGGTCGGATATCGTAGAGCCAGATTCGGGCTTACATGAGTTCCACAGTAGGTGACACCTGTTCTAAGTAAGTCATTAACCATGGGTCGGATAGTATACTTTGGACTTGTACGATGTTAAACATAGTTTAAAGTCAGGCAGAACCGCGAGGCTTTGTGGAGGTTAGTTAAAAGGTCACAATGCAACGCGGGTGGATCCATCGGTCTGTAACCAAAAACATCTGTGATTATACATGGGTGAAATGATACCAAATAAGTTAAGTTTGGAATATACAAGCACTGGTAGCTGGGGTATGCATATATGTTGCTGAGAAATAAACAGGACAAGAAAGTGGAGGGGGGCAGACTTGAGAAAGACTAGATTACTGACAAGGGAGCGCAAACACACCCTCAACGAATCGCCTCGAGGCGTGCGCGCATTTCCTCAAGATCATCCTCATCTTCAACAGCACCAGAACCCCCTGCGGGTAGGCGGGTTCCAGCAGGTAAGGTGTCCGTTATAGCGTCCGGAGCCTTGCCCATGGCGCCATTGGTCAATTCAAAGAGAATTTTATCGACTTCTGCCTGGGCCATTTCTTCCATCTCCTCGGGCTGCTCTAGAGTCGAGTCTATGGACTCATCAACCATTTCATTCACCAATCCTAGTTTCATCATCTCTTTTGACATGTTGCGCATTGTAGTTTGGAGTTCTGGAAGCTAAAATTGAAATACAAAGCAATTTCAAAATTTAGCGAATTACCCCTGCGATTATAGAATTAGTGCCATGTGTGAACCTAGATGGACAAAAAACGACTATGCTTCATTAGCGAGATTGGAATTCGGACGCAACTCAACATGCATTAAGGGCTAGAACAAGTTAAGAAGCGAAAATCTAGAAACATAAAATGCACAAAAGAATAGGAAGTTGTACGTTGTTACTATTTCGGAATAACCAGAAATTCAAAATAGCAAATTGGATAAAACTTAGTTCTGAGGAAACACCTCCCATTGTAAAAAGCGAGTGTAACTGCAAACCACTGCAGCTATGTTAACGTATGACCTCGTAAGTGCTACGAGTTGTGGTATTTGTCGTTGGAGTAGATAACCCGACGAATCACGTTAGTGTTGGACAGAGACAATAGAATTCACTCACCTTAACAAGCTTTGACATTGCTTGAATTATGCCGGTGCTTTTATTGAGGGCACTAGCCATTTTCGCCATAGATACCTGGTTTTCTAGTTCCATGATGACAGAGTTTAACTGAGCCTTCGCTTGATAGAGCCTGTTGACTGACTTGCGAGCTGCTCCAATCTCCTTGGCCAGAATTTTGGCAGCATCGATATTACCCGATTTGGCGTATTTCTTCACATCCACTTCACATTGTTTTGATTTTTGTTGTATGGTCTCGATTTCTCGGTCCAATTTACGCTGCTCACGACGCAACCTGGATTGCATTTCACGGACCTTGGGACGAAGGTCCTTCTCTTTACTGAAAAAATTCATTCTAAAAACAGGAATGGTACACTATGATCAAAGCGATAAGAAGTGCATGAGGCTCAGGGGACTAACCCACAATCCAAACAAAATCACACCTTTCGAACACGAAAAAAGAAAAAGCGAACAATTGATAAACCTAATTGACATTTAATTGCTAAAATAAGAATCGACGCTTTGACAGTAAGCACCAATTCTGTATTTCCATCAAACGCTTAAAACCAGCCGCTAACAAATAAAATTGAAACAATACCCTCCATTCCAGCAGAGAAATCGCCATGGATAAGGCACACTCGTTGTGACAAGAGTTTTGAGTACACAGGATACTTTTGGAAGTTTGTATCACATTCAAAATACAGTATTTCTTTGAAAAATCAGACAATGGATGGGCGCCCAAGCTAAGCCGTGACAACATTCCAAAAACACGTCCGAGAATAGGTAAACGTGATCGAAAAATCAACATCTCACCACACCAACATTTGATGATAACCTGACACAAAACGCAGTCTAAACGTAAATCGAGACAAATAATTATAAAGCATATAAATAGACTCCCTACGATTTAAGCTCAAGTTGAGAGGAGGAAACTAATTTTGAAAGTAGGCTCACTTCTTCATTTTTTTAATGATGTTGAAGACCACCAATAAGCAAAGTGGAAACAAGCCAATATCGAAATCGGTTAAAATGTTTCTAAATTTACCCGGGCAGAGTGTCAGCAGACAATAAAAGACTTATTTTAATTTTGTAAGTTGGATGCTACAACTGTATTCAGCAATATTTATTGAAAAAGGTTTGGGCGAAAAATGATTTCACCAAGGCAGCAGAAAGTGAATTAAAACCAAAAAACCGAAGATTGAATCATACAAGGCAAAACATCGGCCTTATAGCACCTTAATGTATATCAAAATAAATTAAATTACACAAAACTTAACATTAAATGCTAACGCAAATAACAGTAGTTGAGTCAAGACCTACAGAGGTAAAGCTAAAGAATACCATCCCTAGAATAAGTACAAATATATTTTCTCACTTGTTTGCTCAGTATTTAAGCACCTACACCTATACTAAGATTAAGGATCGGAGGAATGGTTAAAGTCAATAATGAAAATTTTATACGAAATTTAACTTTTTGTTAAATGCAACCGGATTAATTTCCAAAAAATGACACAATTTTAAAGACTCAATTTTTGTTATCAATTTCGGCACAATTAACAAATATCACAAGATAGCATATTAGGTCGCAAGATTATGGCGCCATTTCGGTCAAATAAAAAAGAGAAATGAGCACATTGGGATAGCTGGAATAGATATTTAATTTTTAAAAAATACATAATGCGCTTAAGTATAGTTTGATAATGCATTTTACCGAAAGTGCAACTTTTAATGTTCCAGCGTGCTTGGAGGGCACGGACTAATTAAGGTATAGTATTTTTCAATTTACAAAATGTAGGCAATATTGAGGGTCTTGAAATCATGTCGGAATTAATTTCCAAAATGAAACAAAAGAGTTGGAAGTGATTCAAATATGCGTCAGGGTTAATTATGACAAATTAATGCGCCCTAGCCCCTACCGCAAATCCAGCCACCATTTGTCGCAAACGCTCCGGATTTATGTAGCAGAAATTTACCCTCATCGAAAATAGCATGCTAACTAAAAATCATACAAAACGTCTACTTTTCCGTGACACAATAATAAATCCTCTAAATAACCGACTGTATGGAATTTTATGTCGGCGACTGGACGTGCGAGCAATTCGATTTACTACGAATCGCCCCTTCCCAACTGTGGTGGCACATCTGATTCCTAGCCATTTGTCAATCTGGGTTAGCATTCAACGCGTCCAAACAACAAACATGCTCAAATTGATTCGACAATCACCAGCTAGGATCTGAGTACGCGCCACCTGTGCGTTTCCAATTTATTAAGCCACACCAGCCTGTCTGTGACATTTCTACACGTAATATCACTCCCACGATGTCCCGAAATGAATAAAATGCGGTTGTGATTTTGTGAAAGCACTTTTCGTCGATCTTTCCTGTATCCAGTTAATTTTCAAGCAAAGTTCATGCGTTTTCCGATTACAGCACACATTGTAGCACTAACTCATAGCCCTTGACAAATTCATACTCACCGGTTCCTGGCAATACTTGACGATTCAGCCACTTCAGTGACACGCTCAATAAGGTGCAAGTGTGTCGCTCGCACTAATCCACCCGGTACACAGTACGGCATAATATCATGAGGCTGCAATTAGGCACTTTCGGTTCTAGACACTGCTTTGTAGCCACGACCACAAAAACACGTTCTCCTCCTACTTTTATTTATCCACTAAGCCATACAACATCTGGCCTCCACATGCCCAAGAACAGGGGCATTGCTAACAGAACCTGTTTTCTCTGTCACCACTTTGTGCAAGGTAATTGGCACCATCCGATAGAAAGATGCGACGACTTCGTCGGATGACTTAATCTCTTTACTTCATTCAAAATCACACGGACACCTTCCTTCGTCCATCAGGGCATCACTGGTTAGGAGCCGTTTTAACTGCACCACACTAAATAACTGCCCTTTTAATTTACCCACATGCCAATTTATAAAGTACCTGCGGGTCGACCTAGTCACCTCTTGATTGTGCTCTTCAGTTCACCACTTTTGCGAATACTTCCGAGGTAAGCTACTACAAAATCATTTGTCGTCAATAGAATACAGTGCACATTGAATTAGTCAAGTGAAAAAAAATTACAGAGCACCTCAGCAAAAGGCGATCCAATTAAGTTAAACCGATTTGATTTTAAATTCCAGGTCTACCACCACTTTTGGTGTGGCATCATTTCAGGTCGTTTGCCCTAGCTACCAGCAACCACTTATGGAACCCTTGACCAGTTTCAGCGTAGAAAGCAACGATGCCAATCAGACATTCTTCAGTGAGCAGTCGTAGTTATCCACACAAACAATCGACAGGAATGCTGCTATTCAATAAGAACATTGCTGGTAGGTTGGTGTCCCCAACAGTAATACCAAACCATGTCAAGTGTCTGGTTTTTGTAAGGATAGAGGAAGTATAGCACAAAGACAAACACTTTACTGCCTCAGGATTAGGATGAATTCTAATCAATCACGACTTCAGTGACCGTTCTGAGGACTCCATCGAATGACCTCGACCTCGATATTAGTAACAATTTACTCAAAATGACAACATCACAACTTTTGGCTGCTAACCACACGATTCATACTCAAGTGTTAAACAGACTTACTTGCCACCTTCTGCTTTAGGAGAGAAGCTACTTTCGGTGCAATTCCCAACTGACTAACTCCCACTCGAAACCTCCCTTCGAGTCAGTAACACACGCCTGGTTCAGAATGCAAAAAGAGGTATTTCGACAGACAGTGTGGTCATTGCGGCGAACTCCATTCACACCTCCTCCTCATTTCATCTACGACTAAGGATGACTTTGGTTAGTCATCTTCCATGCAACACGATCGACCTGTAGCTTCTGCAGCTCCCAGCTTTTCACTTACAGAAAATCATTCAATAAATTTGATTTTTCAGACCATATCAAGGTATGATTAGCCGTAATCAAATGCTACGCGTTCAACCGAGTGACAAACACTAAGGTGATTGGATTGCGAGTTACGTTGTATGCATGCAGCACTTTTTCGTAGATGTTGATGTCTGTTGCGGTCTTCTGAAATTTAGCCATTGTTGAATTTTTCTTTGGTATGCATTTTTTGTTGTGGTTTAAACCGCGTTACTTCTTCTGGTGTTCAAATAACTTCGGGTTTTTGACTTCATCACCAAAATGACATTACACGTATTAGATAAATTTTGCGCAAACAGGGACACATTTGCAGCATTTTTAGGCTAAACTTTTATGATCTGCAACCGTTTTTACAGCGTTATTGCCTGGCTTATTTTAATGCACTTGTTTAATCAGCGCTAGAACTCACCTCAAACGTCAAGGTTGCTGGTCTTGTTGTGTGCTAGATGGCTGGGAAACATTTGTTTTATCGTCCATTTGACAGCATATCTGATTTACTTCCTCTTGCTGATCGAAAAGCAGTAAAGTACTCATTCTACAACATTGTTTCTGTTATTTGTTTGTTCTCCGTTTTTTTATTGTGTACAGCCATATTTTTGGTACTAAGGGTTTTCCTTCGTCCAATTCTGTGGGCCTTGGTTGTTGGCACTTGCCTTTTTCCCTGCAAGTCCGGAGTAACGGCTTACTTCCGTCGATTTTTGAAACGTCAAAAGGAAAATAGCTATCCATTTTGTCTAAGCGTTTTTCTCTTTCCTTTTAAGTTTTTTCAGTCGTCAATATCAACTTTGTTTGATGCTCTGTGGCCCAAAGTGATACCGTTTATCATAGTTTTTCTGTCCACTGGAGCATTTATGTTTTTGCACGATTTTGGATTATTCGCCCTTTTCGGCCTCTTTTTGTCCACAATCTACTCACTTTTATCGGACGTGCTCGCTTTAATTTCGTTTGTCTCATCTCTGCGCGTCATTACTGCCCTTTCTGTTGTGCTCATATTCACTACAAAAGTTGTTCATCTGTATACGATACAAGGAAATATGATAATTTTGATTATGCGATACATTATCTTTATCATGATCTTCTCGTGTTGTGGCGTCCTTCAGCCTGTCTTTATAATCGCACTATTCCTCCTCCTCATATGTAGTCGCATATTCTCCGATGCGGGTATGTACTGTTTGTATACCTTTTCGTTGCTACGTTACTAACTTGTTGGGAATTCGGTTAGTATCTATTTCTTTTTGAATTTCAAGATTCAGCCACCGGAAATCCCTCTACCATACTTGGTAGCAGTGACGCGCATTCAACGCCATCTTGGTAAATGTCTTTATGCATACTTTGTGAAACGAAGTATATTGTGTTTTCTGATTCTCTTTTTAGATGGAAGTATTTTAAAACTACCTTATGATCTTTTTTTTTCAAATTGGAAAATCACGATCGTAATATTTGGGCGTAAAGAATCATTGTGTTTCGTTTGTGCTGGGCATCAACACTCAAACATTCTAAGTGTACGCTATTAGCTATGATTTTTTTACCTGATTTAATTCCTGTGTTTTTTCGCTAATGTTTCTATGCTTCTCCAATTAAAGTCCTACTAGTGTGACTGATATTTCATTTGAAGATCCTTACTTAGCAGAACCCTAGTTGTGTGTTTTAAACTTAACGGTCTGAATTAACACAACCAAACTTGGAAATAACGATGAGGCATATAAAAATACTGATAAAGAATCAAGGTATCGAAATTGATACCGGCATAGTCAGTTACTACCTTCTCGTGTAATACTCTCTACAAAGGCAAGGTGCGTATATAAATGAATCTGTCCCCCTTCATCGAAAAAGAATTCCCTCATTGCAAGTAGTTTCTTTGGTTTAATTTCAAATGGAATGTTTTGGTCATCTGATTATAGCACAACCGCAAGCGCATTGCTCCGTCGCCTATCCCTCTTGCCCAGCAACGATTCTCAAGCCCCCACACTGAATACTGTCAGCTCTGCTGACAACGCTGTGGGTTCTCGTTCCCCCACGGTCGGCTTTGCAAGTTCCTCCAGTGCCCTGGTGCAAGGTTGCTTTACTGGTCTTGGCCTGATACATTTTTCGGTGGCGTTTTGGACTCGTACTTGGTTCTTCCGTCTTGTACTTCTCTTTGGTACTCTTGGACTAGTGGCATATGCTGTAACGCGTCTTCAACTCGTTCAAAAGGCCCTCAGCCTGATAAAACAGACTTGGACCCCTCTCGAAAGGAAATCCATTTCTCTCCTTTTACCAGGAACAGATGATGGTCGTGAAAGTCTGTTTCTCCCCACTAGTCTTAAAGTGGCGTTGCGATGGGCAGGGAAATTTGACCAGAATGTGAGTCACGCTGAACAAAGAAGTGAACTGTATGATAATATCCTGTAGATGCCTTATAATCTGGTCGTTTAGGGATAATTTTGGGAATACCTGCGAAGTAATTTATTGGTTCACTAGTACGCGTAAAACAGTCTATCTTGCTGTTACGACACGAAAAGTTTTGTAGTATGATTAGTATGGTTGATAACATTTTTTTATTGATAAGAACATCGTCCAAACTTAAATCCATTATGTTAAATTTTGCGCGGGCACGTTGCCAGTCTTTATAAGTTGTGCCGACTCGTGAACCTGCGTCATAAAGTTAGAACACCAAATTACATTGCTCGGAAATTGATAATGAGCTCATAGAGTACATGAAAAACCCCGCTTTGGGGTTTGCCCCATTTCTTAAATACCATTAAATTAATCCATTTTCCAATAACGTTAATTCATATTTCGCATCAAGCACTTCAAAAGGGCATGTCGTGATTTTGGAAAATGCACTTGCGTCGCGTTCTAGAGTAGACTATTTTTAGTTAAACAGGAAGGAATTAGCTGAAAAAGCTTTCCTTAGTACTGTCTGGGCAAGCACAAGATCATCGTTAGCGAGACTAGACAGTTTTGTACTGCAAGCCTTAAGCACGAATCAAGTCGGCATTGATCTGTCCGTGAAAGTAAGCGTGGCACAAGCCTAGTCTGCATACCATGGGCGTTTTTTCCATGTAGCAACGTATTCAGCAAGCATTGTGCCTTTAGATACCGTTAAAGTTAGCCAAAAACAACTTCATTTACTGATTGTAGGGCTAAAACGTGAGTTAACAATTATTTGGTGGCCTCTAAGTCCTGTTATTGATGTTACTAGACAGTATCAGGGAATGCATCCCCCTGTTTCTTTACTATCTACTAGTTCAATTAAAAAGGGCTAATGGAGAATTTTAACTGACCGTGACGTGACCCCTGGATAGTAACACTCTTTACAAAACCTTGACCTGTTTTATGAAAGTGGAAGGTCTGAAAACTAAGCACAACTTTAAGTGAATACAGGCTCACGTCCTAGTAAGGGACTTTCATCTCCCATAGTCTGGCTTTAGGAGGCCTACATTGTTCGAACTGCTACATTTGTATAATTTTGGTTGTAGCTGTACGTCATTGTCGACGAATACTTGGATTATTTGGTCAGCCTTGTTTTAATAAGTCTGATGGTTCTGATCACGGTGCTCATCACTTTCTTCCTCGCTGTTCAGGTAGGGCTTCTCTCAGTATTTATGCATTTATTCTCTATGTTCGCCTGCTCTAAAGGGGCTTTGTTCCATTGAAATCTAATAATGTATCTTAAAATATGCTCCTGGTAGAAATCAGAAACGATAATCTTGCCTCTTTAAAGAGGTATATTTTTTTAGTGGTACTTATTGGACAACTTTCTACTTTGTTGAATTGACGAATTTGGTCCCGTGGCCAAATGCATTTGCCATTAGGTTGAGTCCTCAGTGCGTTTTCGCTGCCGGTGGATTTCACGTAGATGCGCTCCTTGGCCATGAAGTGCTTTCCTCTCTACAGCAATTTAACCGCTAAAGTATAGTGCTAGTGATTTGGCCTAGACAAATTTTCTTGTGTGCTGGTCAATAAGGCAGTCTTATTTGAGGTATTTAAAAACGTTTTTATAAGGCATACTTTGAAGGTTTTGGTTATGACATTGTCAGGGCTCGATTGGGTGAGTCCTTGAAAATAATCGGAGTAGCTAACTAAGAAGTTAGTAGCTTCGTAATCATCCAATAAGTTGATGGGGTAACCTAGCTGGAATCTTAGGCGTTCCATGAACAAGGTGAATTACTCTCGGCAAGTGAGGAACCTTTTTGGTTATATTAAGTTATCACATTAGACCAAAAGTGAGTCAATTGGCAAACGTCATTCGAAAAATACTGAGGGATGACAGGGCTCATCAATAAAAACTTAATTCACAACCCTCGTTCTACGTTTATTCTCACGCACATTTTCGCCATTATCACGTAAAGTTCAAAGTACGTCTCCCTTTAGCTACAGTCACTTCAATGCTCTGTAGCAAGCTGAGAATTACGACCATAGATTTAACAGACTAGACATTTTTGTTTCCATATTAATTTTCATGGGTTCCAGTTATTTTAATGATTTATATTAATCTACTTCAATGTGATATGTTATCTGATGTGGTTTCTTCAATCATTTTCATCTAGACCGTTTTTTCCAATTTGAACTTCTTTTCTAAATTATGCTTTGGCTTTTAATGCTATGCTTCATAAGTATTTTAATAATAACTATAGAAACTTGTTTCCCCTAATCACATCACACCTTCAGATTTAAAGAAAACAATTAACAAAAAATACGCAATCTATATTTTTAGAATCGAGTCATTTTAACTATCTCTTCTTGTTCGATGAATCTGAACCCATCACATATTGTGTACCAATTTAATTGATAATGTGTGTTTATTGCAAACGATTGAATTGTATCTTTATAAACTGTATGGCCGCACTGTTTATAGGTGCTTTGCGAGATTCAAGTGTGGTAAATGCTGCCAGTACAAAACTATAATTATTGTTGTGCATCTTGGTTTCCTGAATATCATGAGTTTTCAGCGTTGGTTTAATCAGCTTGAAGCGGTGATTCGATCTTTGACAAATCAAAGCCCAAGAGATTCGTTTAATCTGACAGATTTATTGTATTGGCTGGAAGTTAAGCCGGAGCCTGGAAAATCACTCAAAATTAGCAACCAAGTCTGAAGTACGTCGGTATTTGGGATTCTACAGTAATTATCCACAGTAAGTTTCTGAATTTCCGTAAAACCAAAACAGTTGAGTATTGTTGTAAGTGGTTCAATAGGCTCGACATTGTTTCGCCTCAAATGCGCCAAAGGCCGGTTCATTCATGCGCTGTCTAACTCCAGCGCGATAAAGCAAAACCTCATAACGCTAAATATACCCAAAAGACACCAATGTTTGGGCTGAAGTGTTCTGTCTGCCACCACATTTTCTAGATTTACCCCGTCGGCATAGCCATTTCTCTCTCATCAAAACTTTATGTTACGACCATCAAATATTCACCGTTACAGGAAAGGAGTTAACGCGTAGGCGAAATAAACCAGGACTAGTACCCATAATTGAGGTTATTATTTTGTACAGTAATCCAAGTCAAATGCTAAATTAACCAACATTTTCTAAAGTGCCGAAAATGAACATTACTTATGAGTGAAAGCTTTTACTAAAGGTGAGATGATGATAATAACTAATTTTCTCCTCTGCAGGTATACGGAGAGACCCTGACATTGATTTCGCTGACATCAAACGTTTTAAACTCTACAATTCACAGCCACATCTTCAGGTACTCGCGTCTCTATACACTGCATTTTGTAGGGTATATTTACGAATCAATTATGTTCTTTGAGATAAAGAGTTTTAGATGCCTTTGATCACATGTTTAAATGGTTTAAAAAGCATTCTCACTCAATTAAAAATCCGGTTCTGTGTAGAAAATGTTTCTATTTTGCTATGTTTCAGGTATTCCACTAGTTAGCTTGGTAGCGACCATCAATCCGTTTCCAGTAGTACCGCTAGCATCTACCTACTTTGTTGTGAAGTAGTGAGAGCATTGTAAGCACTAGTAGCGAATTGTTTCGAAGTTAGCACTGTAGCCTAGGTTCGTATTGCCCATTTTCCAAGTTAATATGCAAAAATATGAAACTAACCTGTTTTATTGGTGTGTTGTTGGGTCATCAGATTTGAATTTCGGGGTCCCATATGAGGCCTGATTTAACGATCGCACATAAATGAATTCAATTTCTAGTGATGCTCTCAGGCATTTATCATTTGCATCTGGACCGGTACTAATACCATTAGTATTTCCAAAATGCATTGAATAGTTGGTTACCTGACAAAGACCAGCTGGGTTTGGTGGCCCGTTCCGCCGTTGGCAATGTGCATCAAATTGGGAAGAATTTCATTATTTCGAAGGTAAGCGGTTGCTCTATTGTGTGTCATACCTTCAAGCACCTAGTTACGACAACGTAGGTTAGAGAAAGTGAAATCACTCCATAATTATCGTGCATGTTGCGTGCAACATGGCCCAGGATCAGCAGAGTTATGAGTTCACAATCGCTGGGTTGAATGCGTAACATTTGATTACGGCTAATCATACCTTGATATGGTCTGAAAAATCAAATTTATTGAATGATTTTCTGTAAGTGAAAAGCTG